CAGCTTTAAATATTCAATATGTGGAATTCATTTGTCTGGAAGATACTAAAACCCTTCATCAGTGATGAACTGCTTTCCCTCGTGTGTCCCAGCCTGCCGTAAATCAGTGCTGGCTTTAGGCCGGAGATGGGGAGGTGTATGGATTAACAGTCCGGGGTCTAAGCCTATATTCCCTGCCAAAAAATAGTATATTTGTGTCATTTTTCAATACAAATTAGTAGTAGGTGCAAATTCACTCTATTTTACTTAATCCTTTTGATTTTAGAAAAGAAAATCTTAAACACAGCTTTTTTTCAACACTGGGATGTTGATCAGAAAAATGTAGTCATACACTTATGTAAATAGTCCATGTTAAGTTGAGAGGCTAGCCATGACTGCAGAGGGTTTTAGGACTGTGTGAATCTGTCCATCCCTGCCTCCCTTGGGGTTAGAACAGTGCTCAGTATTAAGTAATTTAAAGAACATGAAGGTCTGTTTGTATTTACTGTTTGTGAAATGCTCCTTTTGCTCCTAACTTACTAGGGACCAATTGTTTGTATTGTGGGGCTACATAAACACAGAATGTTGTTGAAATACTTGAATGTGAAACATTCTGGTTTGAGGAAAGAAAAAGATACATAAGAAGATGTCATAGGATGGAAATATTTTTTCAGTCTTTTCAGTGGTTTATGTGAATGGAAGGATTAGGGGGCCCTTTGGACTGCCGCTACTTTAGTTTCGATGTAGGAAACGTGGTGAAACTAATGATCAAAGTCAGTGCACAAATCAAGACCTCACAAGGTAAATCCTGATAGGAGTCTATTCTTCCAAAGATAAGCATCTTTCATTGTCGCTTAGCTTTAGAAACGACATTCTTGATGGTTTGTCATTGACTGACACTTTAAGCCTGTATTTCCAGTTGGACAGATGTACTAAAGTACATGATTCAGGGCAATAAAAAAATAAGTTTGATCTGTGACTGAAAAATGAGAGATCTGCTGCTTTATGGTGTTCTATAAAGATGTCATAAAATATATATTTATTTGACAAATATGCAAAAAAAATGAGGTCTTACATTTCAAGATGCTGTTGATTTTACTAAAATAGTCCCTCTGGATTTTAAGCACTTTTGATTTTTAGAATTTCTGGAGAGGCTAGGAGGAGGAAAGATGAAAAGGAGAAAAATATTTCAACTATCAATTTTCCAGACCATTCTCTCCTTTCTTTTTAAGCAGAGGTTACTGTAACTAAAGACAATGATACTTGATGCATAATGAAAGCACCTCTTAATATTATCTTGGTAATTACGTGACAAATGTGTCATTCATTTAATGTTTTTAGAAGCTACCGAGCACCTCTTAATATTATCTTGGTAATTACGTCATTCATTTAATGTTTTTAGAAGCTACCAATCTTAATAACAAAGGTAGTTTCTAGCCTTCATTTGTAGTAACTTAATGGCAATTGGGACGTTAAAAGTAAGCAATATGTGAGAAAGAATGTATTGGTGTCACTTGTCAGTTTGTTTTTCATAAAGGCAAAAAATACTGCATTTCACTGATGTGTTTACAGTAATCAGCTTTGTAGTATGAATGAGTTGTCCTAACGAAAATGAAATAATCACAAATTTTGGGTCTAGTTTACCTTTCACTAAAGTTAGGAAGAGCCCTCTTGTTATGAATTTGATAGTTACAAGGGTCGTCAGTTTCCTGAGTCTGCATTAAATATGTTCTGCAAATCAGTAAATTACCTAGCTTGCCCATATGTGTGTCAGTTTAAAACACAACTGCATTGGTGACAAATTTTAAGTCATATTGTAAGAGTGAACTTTATTTGACAATTTGAAATTTGAAGATTTCTAGTGGTGGTATAAGATTTCTAGTCCATCAATAAGTGCTCATCACACCACAGTTTTTGTATTTCTTTTTACTACCACTTACTTCCTACATGTTATCTCTTTATATATGCCTCTACCCTTTCTGTGATCCATTATGAAAGTCTTTAATTATTTGATTGTCTTTTCTAAGTATGTCATTTGAATGAGAAATTTTCCGTTCAGACACGTGCTTCCTCCACTTTAATTTAAGAATTAATTAGTAGCAGAAGTTTTTTGTGTGATATAGGCGTGTGTCTTCGTGGTATTTTACCAGTGAACGTGTGTTCTTTCTGTGCTCAGAGCCAACTAAGAACCATTTCCATACAATGCAGTGTGGAGATAAATCAGTGATGTCAAGCCAAAGCTAATAAGCACTGCTGAGTGGCAAAGTGTATTACACAATATTGAACCCAAGTTAATATATCAACGTGGCTTTCACTCACCTTGCACTGTATGCAGAGCTGTTTGCGTCCTCCTTCAAAACTCTGTGTGATGTGCCATCAGTGGACTGGCTCTTAGGAAAGTTTTCTTATGAGAAAACAGTGAAGAAAACTAAGTATTTCTTTCTAGGTCTTATGTGTAATTCTGACTACGGCAATGGCTGCAAATACTGCAGCTGTCCCTCTTGCTAAGTAGCTTCAGCCTTGCCATCCTTAAAGATGGTATGGTGATGAAGATGAAACTTGGCCTCTGCATACTACACGCTAGACATTTGTTCCAAAATAGATAGTATGATTGTAGTCAGCAGAAGACTTCTGACCAGGATGTTAGTAGGAGTCTCTGAAAGTGATGAGTTATTCTTTTCAGTCTCAGAACTTCATACTTTTCATACAACGACTCTTATTTCAGGATCCTTCACATTTATTTAGTCTTAATGTTTTTCCCTGGGATGTAAAAAGGCATAACAGAACTGCAGAGTGTGTGAGGGTTGTGTTAGGTGCATGACACTTGACAGATCTGGAACTGATTTTTAAAGCAGAAGTAAGTGAAAGGGCTTTGCTCCAAGGAAAAAGCAATGTCTTCCTTCGTACCTCATTCACTTAAAAGTAATAATAAATAGAAACTGGGAGATGGTGAAATACTTAGTCCTAGAAGGACAAGTGCCTCACCATGTGAGTTACAATAATACACTCATTGTAAATATGTACCATAGGAGGGCATGACTTCTGTCTCTCTTTCACTGCCGATCCTTCACATTTAGCCCTGGCAAAGTAAATCAAAACAGTAGGTCACTCTGAGATTAGTTTCGTGGTGCCAGTGCTTTTCCCTAAGACATGAGTCATGCAATTTTGGGTAGTTCTGCTCTTTTAAAGGCTGTAGATAATAACAAAGATGGGACTGCAGACAAAAAAAAGTGAATGAACAATGATTTCCAAAATGATTGCCCCATAGTAAAGTGAGTATATACAGAAGGAAGAAATAATACACTTGCTTTAGAAGTGCTTTCTTTAAAAGGCACTTCTAAATTACAGTAGTTCAGTGTAGCTATTAATGTAGTCATTCTTAAAAAAAACTCACAATTATGCCAACTGAATGAGTGGGAAATTTGTAGAGAAAATGGTCTAAAATGCAGAATAATGCAACTGGTGTGTTAGATGTGCAGTGACAGTATTAAGGTAATATGATCAAAATACATATGGTTTTTGATAGGCTTGTTATGAATGTTATGGTTTCTAAATTTTGTTTTCCTCATAATTGAGAAGCTTAAAGTGAACTAATATTTTTGGCAGCAGCATGGGATAAAGTTCTAATATCTGACTTTTTTCCATTTTTATTTTCATTTACAGACAACTTGAAGACTTAAAATAATTGTTGCTGATTAAAATAATTGTGGTTGAACATCAACAGATTTCATCATGTTTTCCTAAAAGAATGATGATTTACTTTTTATAACAGAATTCTGCTCTAATCCTGTAAATGTATACATTGTTTATGAGCTCATGCATATTGTCACTGAATTTGTAGTTCATTTACAGTCATAGATCTTTTTATAAAATTTTTTAAACTTTTTGTCACTTTGTGATTGTGACAGCTAAACTGTTCTTTATAAGAAGCTATACTTATGTTCTCCTGGTCAGCATACTGTTTTTATCTGTTAAAAAAAAAGGCTTCAGGATAAGAAAAAAAAATCCAGTAATTAAAAAAAAAATTAATTCTTTAAGTAGTCTGTGCCTGAACTGAAGCAATGAACATAAACCAAGTGTATCAAATAAATGAGAGACAGTCTTGTGAAAGGATTTTTCTGTGAGTTGACAAACACTTTCAGTTTCCGCTGTGAAGGTGCACGTTGTCTCTCGTGACTGGTTCTACCCGTCTTTGGAGATTGATGACTACCCTTTATGTTCAGGGTCCCTTCGCTTTCCGTTGACTTCAGGTGAAATTGCAGACGCTCAGCATGATCAAAGAGGGATGGGGGAGGCTTCCAGTAGCAGTCTCTTCACTTTCTGCTGTTCTGATTTTCTAACTGCAGGCATCTCTTAATTCACATTGACTTTAGCAGCCCTCAAATAACTTAAGTGCTTGGTTTAAGTCTTAGACTAATCATCCTCAAAGAAGAATGCTGAATGTGAAAGAAGATAATTTGTCTCAGAAGTCTCTGCCAAATATCTCTAGATGTAGTGGTTTCTATCGCAGCTGTTCCATATGTTTCTCTTTTTCTATATTGAATGTTAAGCTCCTCTTTAATGGAGTCTAATGTTTTTCAGTGGGCACTCAATAACAAAGAATAATAAAAAATATGTATTACAGATGATTTTCAAGCATTTTAAAGCATGAGAAAGCCTTCATTATTGAAAATAAGGGCAGAAGACAAAATTACTAGTTTTACTTGGAATATAAGGCAAGGCAGCCCCGAGTACTTGATGCATGAAGGGAAAATTTTCCAAGACAGCATCAATATTAATATTTTTTTGATCTTAATTGCTTTGTGGTAGCACTCTGATGCAGTTGATATACATTTTGTTCTCATGAAAATTATTTCATAATAGTATTCATATCTTTTAAAATATGGTTGGGATTTCAATATAGGATTTTTTCACGTCAAATCCCGTATAAAGTTCTTTGTTTGTTTGTTTTTCAGCGTAGTCTGTAAGTGTCTTTACTGATTGAGAAGCTGAAATTGTTTTTTGCCTGTGAAAGCTGGAAAATGTTCAAAAACCAGTATCAGGTAAAAGAGAAATAGTTTTATTTTTTTGTACTGTTTCATTTCACCTCTGAGAACTCAATTAAAAATGGCTTGTTCTGGGGGGCAAAAAGTCCAGATACTGAAATGTTTTGGAATGTTTCATTATTCAGTATTTTCATAGAAATGTTGTGAAATAGTGAGTAGCTGCTAGTGCTGTCAGGTCTAGGATGGACACCAACATAGTGTTACCACTGGCTTTTTGTCTAGAGTGCCTTCCCTGGGAAAGCAGGCCTAACTCTTAAGGTATAGCCAGAAAAGGGGGTTGGTTTATTCTCTTGGTCCAGCACAGGGTTGTGACAACACTAATGTCATCATTCACAAACCTCATTATCCCTTTTACTGTTTTCTGGCCTTCATTTTCACCACACTTTGCCTCCCTTTCTCTGCAACAGTGCTCTCCCAAGGCAGCATCCAATCTGCAACAATTTTTTAATTTTTTGTAGCAGTCTGTTTTAAAACTCACTTCATTTGGTGAGTTATAGAAATAAACCATACCTAAACATAAATTACTAATCTCCTGCGTGTTTTTAGAATTTTTACAATAATTTTGGTTTTTAGAGAATATTATAAATAAAATAATTAAAATATTACATGGTATTCCTTCAGATTTATGTTCTGATCCTCTAGTACAGCCAAATATTGACTAAATAGATTGCTATGTTACAGTAGTCTAGAAGATGTTATTAATATTCTGCTGTCTGACTGATCAGGAATACTGACTGTGGTAACAGCTTGATGTGAGGAGGGGTTGTTCTTAGGCACTCATCTTGACCATTGACGACTCTGTACTGAACATTTGGTGGGATGATATATCCTTAAACCACTTTATCATAGGGTGGCCCATTTGTGGAAGTATTCAGTGCTCAAGGCAAGAACCCAGGAGCAAAATGGAAGATTTTTGGCAATCCATCAGCTATATGGAAAGTAAGTTTTTAAAGAAACTTGTAAAACCTAGAGTATAAAACAGAAAATTGTGAATGAAGCTTAAAATTAGAAGGTAATGAGGGTTTTGACCTGACAGTGACATTGTCACTTGCAGTTCTGTCATTATGACAGACTAAATGACTACTTAAATTAGTTCTTTATGCCTGCTTGCAGACTAGATTGGTCACAGCACAATTTTACAGTTTAAATATTTAGAAAGTAATTTTGCCATTCTGATAACTAATGGATTGAGTTGGGCCCATTGGATCGTGAGCCCTTTTTCTCAGTATTCTTTGTTCATTAAACGTGATAGTAAAGGACATATTTGTATGGATTGTATTATTAGCATCGTATTTGAACTACTGTAATACTTAGTGCCATCTGCCATTTGTGATTTAAGGAAAAAAAAGTAGCTTAGTGTGTTAGTAGCATGGTTGGTTGTGAGAAGAAGAATTCTATCAAGATGCTTATGTTTGTTTATTGTTCCTTTTTATAGAAATATGATAAAGAAGTAAAAGGCTTTGTTTTTGTGCTTGAAGGAAACAGTCAAATCAACAAAATGCAGCTACCAAAGGCAACTAGACAAACTTGTAAGTATCAAAGAATTAAACGTCTGTGATGTTGTTCTGATTATTAAATCAGTCTTATATTGGAATGTTAAACTTACATTATTCTCCCTTACTTTGGGCGTAATTCAGCGAAAGCAAAGTGCTTTTTCACTAACTTTTTAGCAGGTCAGTCACAAGTGAGCGAAAGGTCTAGAAATGCTGTATTAAAGTGCTGTAGGGAAGATCCTTGTCGATACGTGTTGTCTTAATGCTGCCAGGTTGCCTTCTGTACCAGATCCTGTTACAGACTGATGCCTGGCAAATAGCTTCTGACTCCATTCAGCACTTAAAGTCAACGTATTTTTACTTTTATGTATGAAATAAGCACTATGAGTACAAAGAAGCTGTACCCAAATTTCAGCTGCATTTATGTAATCAGTCTTTGACGGGTAGTGTGGAGTATTTCCCCAGGTTGTCTATTACTTGCACCAGAATAAGCCCGAATCAAAGCAGTCTACGTTTCTCAGGGCATACAGCAATCAGTGTAATTTATGCCTTAAACTCCACTGCAGGGTTTTGTACCTCATAAGGCTTGTAGTAATGAAGCGAGCTGGTTTAGAATTAACTACTCACTTTTGGAGAAAAATTGAGATGGTGATTTTAGTCAAATGAAACAGGACTTTTCCAGTATACTTCCTGTGCAGGTTATATAATTACAAATTATTTTTTCCAAACAAACACAAAAAATAAATAAGAAAATCTATAGTCTGGTCATGCACTAAGGCCTTGAAAATTATTCTGATTTTTATAAGAGAAATTCACTATTATCTTCAGTATAATAATATTAGTCTAATATCTCTTTCTGAGAAATCCAACTTTTAACTTGTTTATTGCCAGTGTTGCAATAAACTATTACAGTCTAAAATGAGGATTGAGAATTAGTGTTGTGGATTATCACTGCGAAGAATAGTTTGGATTTAAATCTACTTTAGCTAGTGCTGCAGTACTACAGTCAAATTTCCATCTGTTACCATTCTGTCTCCCTCTGTGTACCTCAAGTATTTCATTTATGTCAAGTATACAATCTCCCAGTTCTACTGTAATCTTTGAATACTCTTCTAAAGTAAAAGATGTTATATGTACAAATATAATTTGAAATTTTAAAATATCATTTGACCCACAAAAGTAGGAAGTTCTGAATTAGCATTCTTTGGAAGAGGAGCTAATATCGCTGTTGAGTCTTGTTAAGTTAATGAAGAGCAGCCCCTACCCTCACAGATGGAATAACTAAGAAAACATACGGTTGAATTCAGACAACTTTGTACTGTTTTCCCTTGATAGGGAACTACCTGAATCCTGGAAGATTTCTTCTGTTTGTTTCCCCAGTTAAGCTCCTTTTCTGTTCCTAAAATCAGAAGCGTCCACTGAACATTGTTGTCATGATCTGGGTTGCGTTTTTACCCAAGGGTTTTTGAAGTTTTTTAATAAGGTGTACATTGTCACAAACGTGTGAGCAAGTTTCATATGACTGTAAGATTATCTTGATAGGGAAGTATTACTTTATTTTATAATTTCTGTGGGATAGTTGATGTCTACATGCTCTTACAACACAATGTAGAATTGTTAGTAAAAAAAAATTTCCTTTTATTTTCATGAGAATTCCACCGAAGCCACAGATGGGACTTTTAAAACAACACTTTTATTGCAGTTTGAATTGGTTTTGTTCACTTTTTTCTCGTGTTCATATGCTGTGTGAAACTTGGGAAATAGTGTTGCAGGGGAATAGCTGTATGGTACAAAATTGCAATGCTTGATGGTGAGATGTGCATCTGCACACCCACAGCACATGTATTTAATGTTTTTTCCTGTTTCTAGTGGGACTGATCCAGCAGTTTCTGACACTTCAGATTTTTGTGCCATTGGGACAAGACTTCTCCACTGAGTTACTGTAAGATGCATAAAATTTCTCTGAATACTTAACATAAAGTGAATGCCTGATTGCAGCCACAATTATGGTGGCAGATTTTGCATTAAAGCATGGTGACTGATCAAGTCAGTAAGAAGTGATTAAGCTAATGAGATCATTGTTTCTTAGATGTTTTAAGTACTGACATTCCTTTGAAGACAGAACAAACTCTAAAAATCATGAACGAAGATGGTGAAAAATATGAATAAATGGGACATGAATTTATCAAACATATGAAAATACTGGCTCATGAGGATCTCCTGAAAGTTCATAAGAGATTTATAAATAAGTATTCCAGGGCCCTTTGTTTCAGGGCAAAAAGAAATACAGATTCTAACAATTGGGAGAGTAAAAAACAACCAAACAAATGATAAAAAGCTAGAACAACAAATAGAGTGCTCAACTGGTATAATTATTTCCATACTATAAGAAGAGAGATACAGCTGAAACAGACTTTTTTCATTAGTTCAATGCGGGATGATTTGATACAGTTTTAAACTTGGGCAATTGTCAGTCTTTGGAGAACATTTTCCCCCTAGTGGCACCGGCTGTTTATAACCAGCACAACCCACTCAGCTTTGTAGCCAGTAGAACACCGAAGATTTGGATTAACAAAAATACTATGCCATTAGAAACTCTGCAAGAAAAGATGAGTTGAATAATAAGCAATTAAACTGAACAGAGTTAATAGGGAAATTTATTTTTGTTTGCCTTTCTGTAACTTGGCATTCATCTGTACCCATAATTGTCAGGGTTTTTTTGATTGTCTGAAGTCTCTTGTGCTTGGAGTAAGAGGAAACAACTCTTGTAGGTTTAAGTCAAAGAGGACAAAATGAGATGCTGAGAAAATATCATTCCAGTTATACTTTAGTAGAGATACAGTGCTCATTGTAATGTGAATAATCTATTTCATGAAATTAGGATGGTGTGCTATTTTATGATGCTAGATTATTCTGTTATCTTCTGTGCCTTCATGTAAGTGGAGTCATCTTGGAATATTTTGTTATTTTAACAAAGAATACAGTAGTGTGAATTGAGTCATATTTATTAAAATTCCTCAGTGGATTTATAACAATCCTTGAAAGTATTTTAGTCTTGGTGGTTTGTAAATTAGTGGGCATTTATGATCTACACCATGTTGGTAACATTATGCATGGAATTAACATTCCATGTTGATTTCTAACATGATTTTGAAATCTGAGCATTGAGAAAATCTTCAAAGGATAAATTATATTATTTAGCACAGATGTTCACTAGAGAATATTTTTGCTTCTCCGTGGAGCATGGAAATTTAGGAGAGAACACTGCGCTCAAAGGACTTGTTTTAAAGACAGCTTTGACTCTATGCGTCAAGATCTTGATACAGAAAATACTAACAGTTTAGTGATTTAAAGTGAGAAACTGTTGGCAGAAAAGCTGGTAATTGTTGAATAGACCAGAACACTGCAGGTTTTCAAGCACCTTCCCTTTGTCTTTAATTTCTCTTCCTACCACAGCCTTTGTACATTTTCTGTTACGTTTTGCTTTCACGGTAGTACTCTTTATTTCTTACCTTAATATCTAAGCAAAAAATTATTCAAAATGAGGTATCTCTAACATAAGCACACATTACTTTAAAGCTACCTTTTTTTTTCTCCTGCAATACAAAGAGCTGCTTTGTGTGTCAAATCACACTGACTTTTCTGCTCTTTGATTAATTTCCTTAGTGTAGTTCTGGTTACACTTTCTGCTCCTGTGGTTTTAATTGCTGCATTACTTCTAAAAGTGTGTAACAAACATGCAGTAAACAGAAACCAAGTACATCGATTTGCTTCTCTTAGGCATTCTGTAGACAGATGGCAGAAACTTAGTGACAGGTAGAGGAATTTAGATTTTCTATAGTTTCATATTGAGTTTGGTTCTTTTGAGCACTTGCCACTAATCTATACCTCTTAAGAACCTCTTCTTCACTTTTCATCTACACATTTTATTTTTTCATCACTTGCTTTTTTTTTTTTTGATAACTGAGAGCTCTACTTTTCTACTGCCTCTCCTACCTTTCTTTGCCCCTTCTCTTTCCAACTCATATCTAAACTTCATGTTTTCTTCACCTTTTCTCACCACTTCCAGTTCCCACCATTACTGTGTTCCTCTTATAACATATATTTTTACTTCTATAATATTCTTATGTATTTCATAAAGATGTGTATTTTGTATTTGCTATATGTAGTTTAAGTAATCATATACTATTTTACTGTATTTACTATATTTAAATAGTCATACCTGTTATTTTTCACTTTCTTTTTCTCTTTTCATCAACTTTATTGATTCTAAATCAATATTATCAGAGAGCTTGATACAAACCCTCATTCTCTCTCCTTCTCTTATGTGCAGTGGTTTCAGTGTTTATGTGGATTAAATAATCTCACTTTATACATTTCCATATACTTTTACCAAAATAATAAATGCTTAATTCAGTGTAACTGTTTCATTACTTAATTACTTATGTTATAATCAAATCATGCTTATTCTGATAATTACGTAAATTCATCAATGCATTCAAAGTACTCGGAGCTACTTAAAGGTGTATATGCTTAAAAAGTACAGTCTCATTAGTTCCCCACTTAGCACAACTGTATGCAGAAGTTAATGAAGCTTCTTTAAAAATAAGTTTAGTACTAAGTTTTGTATTAGAAAACAAGTGTAACTTATTGCTGTACCTATAAACTCCTTCAAGACCTGCAAAATAGTGTATTTTATCCTAGCAGACTCATAATAATCCAATAAATAATGAAGAGAAGTCCTTCTTGCTTCACGACTGCCATTCAGATCTTTTCATTTCAGACATTTTGAAAGGAATCTCTTGCTTGTTTGTGGACAGAATAGTGATTGTGCTATTGTTTCCTGGAGTTTAATGTTCAAAGATGGTTTCTTACATAATCTGACTGTTTACTACTGAATCTTTGAGTAGCTTCAAGTGAAAATTGATAGCATACCAAGCCATCAAATTTACTTTATGCAAAAAACACTTTGGCAAGTTTTGTAATAGCTGCACATGATGCTTTATGGTACATTTCTTCCTCTCTCATTCTGTATAGAGAAGGAAATATGAATTTAGTTTGACCCCCATCCTCTCTTTTGCATTCTGTTCAGTGATTGATCTGATCAGCAAACAAGAATTTCTTCAAGGCCATCCATCACTGCTGGCATCAGCTGAGCTAAACCTTCTAACTTACTGCTATCAACCAGTCATGCGAGATTCCTGTCATAAATACTGAATGTGCAAACAACTGTTTAAATTAACTGTTTTGCCTTTTCTTGGGAAGAAATTTAAGTGGAATTTTAGATACTTTATTAGGTAGCATGAATTAGATGAGTATCACCACATTAACAATCAATGTATTCATGTGCCTAAAAAATGTGTAAAATAGATTGTGGATGAAAAATTTGCTGAAGCATAATAAAATCACAACTAATGTAGAGAGCATGTAATTTATGAAGCCTTTTTGAAGCAAATAATAGCAAAGCTATTAGTAATGCTGAATATAGCCATCTGTTGTAAATATAGTAGCCAGTTATTAAATCTTCACTATTATGGATTTTGCTACCTTTCTGAAAAAGCAAAAGTAATTCAATGTTAGAAAAAATATTTGCGTAAAAGAAAACAGCATCTGGCTTGTGTTGGCATTCTTGGTTTAATTCCCAATACATGGTCGTGTGCAGGTGCTAGCACTTCTGCTTGGCATTTTGACAAGCACACAAACATTCGTTCTTCTCAAAATACTGTAATGCCAGTCATTGTCATACTTTATTTCTGATATGTTTATTTTCAATGTTAAGTATCCCATGAAATTAGTACATCATGTTATTATAAGTTTTACAGGAAGTGAGTAGAGCTGTTGATTTGAGAAAAATGCACCTTCAAATTGTACCATAGCATCCAAAAAAAGTGATAGAGTGGTCTGAGGTATGAACAAGGATCAGAAAGTCTGTTTCTGGTTATGTACTGAAATATTATGTGGTCTCGTATGAGTCCCTGTAGGTTGCTCAGCCTTTTTCCCTTTAGTCTTCCCATAAAAATTATGGGAGTAATATGTATAAATTTATTTTGAAAATGTGTTATAAAGAGTTAACTAACTTATTTTTGTATGATACTTTTAAATATATTAAGTAAATATAGGAATTATGGTGAATTTTAAAATCTGGTGGTTGGTCAAGTACATTTTCATTGCTATGCAGGCTAGTGTGTGCTGATAGTATAGATTCAATATTTGATGTATTATCCTATCTCTGAATAGAGGCCAGTTTAAGGAGATAGCGTTTTTGATGCAAAAAATAAGTTTCCCAGTTCTACATTTAGGCATCCAGACAGGACAGAAGATAATAACTACAAAATGTGTTCAAACTAATACGTAAAGTGATCCAAAAATGTTAGTGGCAGAACCAGGTATGGTACTTACTGATCCATTGCTGCAGCTCTTAAGTCATCTTGTCTATCTCAATGATACTGTATTCTAAGACAAAACTTTTTGAAACCCGAATTTGATATTACTCTGTGCTTGTTACAAATATGAGCTTTGATAGAAATAGTTCGGGTGCAGAACTGTGTTATGATGGAAGGAAAGTGATCTTGTCCAGATAGTAATAAAAATATCCTGATTATAGATTAATTCCCATTATAGTACTACTTCATTCTGGTAGCAGCTTGGAAGAAGTAGAAGTGAAATTTGCCAGTGATACCAAAAAAAAGAAAACTGTCCAGCTGGTAAGCAGATGTACAAAATTATCCCACTTTGGCAAGAAAGATAAACTCACCTGAAAGTTTTTGATACTTATTTCTCTTCAGGAATATGCTGGTGCATGAGATTATTCCTCCCCATGTACAGGAATGAGTCTCTAGTTTAAATCTAGTTTGGTTTTGTTTTTTCTCACTTGTTGAAATTCAACAGATTTAAGGCAGATGCTTGCTCTTTGGTCACGTGTGGGTTTTGCTAGGGAGAAGA